GAGGTACAAAAGGAATGACTTTATATTATCAATCTTTTAGATAAAGACAGGGAAATTGGCAAAAAATCATAGTTGAGATAAACCTCTAGATTGCTATCCATACACAATTACTTCTTTGTGGTCATCAAGGTGAGAAAGCAGTGCCAATGGATATGGACCTCCAATCATTTTCACAGAGTTTACTAATTAAGCTTCACCTAGATATCTGGACACAACATTCAATCAGCACTTCTAATGTGTGAATCAATCGATCATGCTGGATTGCTGTCAATAGTTTGAACTGGATTCCTTGTGTGTTTCAATGTGTATAGACAATGAACAGGGAAATCTTGTGGGACAAGAGTAACCAAAGCTACCAAGAATTCATCTTGCTGGGGGTGGCTGACCAGCCACACTTGGAGATGTTGCTGTTTGCCCTTGTCCTGGCCTGCTACTTGATGACCCTCCTAGGCAATACAACCATCATCATGGTGTCGAGACTAGATCTAGGCCTCCATAACCCCATGTATTTCTTCCTCAGCAACCTTTCCTTCCTTGACCTCTGCTTCACCACCAGTCTTGTGCCACAGGTGCTGGTGAACTTCTGGAGAACAAGTAAGACTATTGCTTATGGTGCCTGTGTGGCTGAGCTCTACATCTCCCTTGCTCTGGGCTCCACAGAGTGTATTTTGTTGGCTGCCATGGCTTATGATCGCTATGCTGCCATCTGCCATCCACTGCGCTACACAACCATTATGAGCCACTCTCTGTGTTTCACAATGGCTGCTGTCTCCTGGATAAGCGGCTTCAGTGTCTCACTAGTTGATACAGTGATGATTCTTAGGCTTCCATTGTGTGGATGGAATCGGGTAGATCATTTCTTTTGTGAGCTCCCTGCCTTTCTTAAACTGGCTTGTGTTGACATTTCCTTAATGAAGCTTTGATGCTTTCTGGTAGTGTTGTGTTTCTTCTAGCACCCGTTAGTCTGATCACAATCTCTTATGGCTATATAGCAGCTGCAGTGATTAGGATCCCTTCGGTTGAGGGCAGGAAGAGGGCTTTCAACACTTGTTCCTCCCACTTGATGGTGGTCTGGCTCTTCTATGGCACAGCCATCTTCAATTATTTTCAACCTCCATTCACCTATTCCCATGATCAAGGCAAGATGATTTCCCTTTTCTACACCTTTGTCACCCCCATGCTTAATCCACTGATCTACACTCTGAGGAACAAAGAAGTACATAAAGCTCTCCACAGATTAATGAAGAAGAAATAAACACGATTCGAAACTGCATTTGAAGGTTCAACAGCAATACTCTTTATGTTATTCTTCCAGTAGTTTTCATTTTATTTTGTTTTTTCTCTCTCTTTTCATAATAAACACATAACAACACTAGTTTTCATAGTAGTACACAGACTGTAAATTAAAAAGTGAAAAAAGGCAAGATATTTTCCCTCTTCTATGCCTTTATCACCACCATGCTTAATCCACTGATCTACACTCTGAGGAACAAAGAGGTACATAAAGCTCTTCAAAGACTAGCGAAGGAGAAATAAACACATAATTGGAAGCTGCATCTGAACGTTCAACAGGAATAATCTTTGTTATTCTTCCAGTAGTTTGCATTGTACTTTCCTTTCTCTCTTTTTTTTCCATAATAAAACCGTAACATATCTAGATACCGCAACAGTACACAAGACTGTAAATTAAAGAGTATACAAAGTCCCCAAACTGCCTGTTGGAACTTACTTTCTGAAGTGTTTTGTTAGTTTGTTGTGGATACACACTTTCATCTTGTATCATCATTGTCTCTTGAGGATTTGTTCCCTTATGAAAAAGGCATTTTCTGAAGTTCCTGCTGTGTTCATTTACAGAGAAATTGAACTAATATTATTCCACCCTAGCAAATTCTGACTGCATTGCGGCTTTTGTTAGGCCGAATCCTGTCTGCATTGTGATTTTTTTTTTCATCCTACTTAGACACACCTAACTTTCCTTTCTGTCAAAACTGATTCACTCTTTCACCTTCATTTTCTCCCTTGCTCATAGCTTGACAAGATTTTGGTGCAAAGATGGGAGGGATGGTATCTAGGTAACCGAGGTGTCTTTGACAGCTTAGTGCTGATAAAAAGTGGACTTTTCCCATAACAATAAGAAGTATTACTATTGGACAATATGAAGACCCAGTGGGTTGGAGCGAGGGAATCTATTGTATGATTAAGTAAGCTTTTGAGTAGGAAAACCAGAGCTGTTTTCACTTCTTCTGCACTAATGTAAAATTTCAATAAAGTATTATACTCTTGGTAAAATCATGTCCCAGGAGTTTTTTTTTTTTCTGGAAATGCCAACTAGACAGTTGACATCTTTGTTATATCATCAGTGTTGGGTCCCACATTCATGTGAATTTTTGGAGAAAAAGCAAGACCAATCCACTGATCCATCCATTGAGGAACAAAGAGATATACATAGCTGTCCAGAGAGTAATGAGGAAGAACTAACATTTCCACTGGTGACCCAAGTGATGCTGTGGCTGCTCTCTTGCAATGACTGGAGCTGTGGGGGACTGGATGGGGGACAACAGGCTTTGACTGAACCCTGCCAAGACCGAATGGTTTTGGGCATGCAATATCTGGGACTTTGTCATCTTTCACTCTGGATGGGGTAGCACTCCCCCAGAAAGACCCGGTCCAAAACTTGGGGGTTCTCCTGGACTCATGACTCCTGTTCAAGGAACAGGTGTTGGTCATGGCTAGGAGAGCCTTTGCACAACTTTCTGTTGTGCACCAGTTGCGGCCTTTCCTGGATCAGGACTCCCTGCACTCAGTCGTTCAGTCCCTAGTCATCTCACGGCTGGACTATTGTAATGTGTTCTACATGGGGCTAGTTGTGAAGAACATTCGGAAGCTACAGCTAGTCCAGAGTGCGGCACACAGGCAGTTTTGGGGGGGCAAAGAATGGCCCCTGTAACACCACTGCTTCATGAGCTGCATTGGTTATCAGTCTGCTTGTGGGTGCAATTCAAAGTATTGATGATCACTTTACAAGCCTTTCATGGTACGGTCCATGTTACTTGAGGGATCATCTCATTCAACTGAGATTGACACATACCACTTCCTATCCTGGAAGCTTGATCAGTTGTATTGGATGCTGTGGGAGGTGGAAAGATTGTTGAGATTAGTTGGTGGGAGGGAGAATGGGAGGTTCTGACAGGATGATGGAGGGGAGGAATGGAAATTGAAAGATTGTGTGTGTGTGTGGGGGGGGTTCTTTGCAATCAACTGTTCCCTGAGAGCCACTGTGGTTACATGGGGTTTTATCTGTGACCTCAGGGTCACCTTAGTCAGAGGTACACCATTAAAACTGTACAACATTATTATATATATTTATATCAATTTTCTAATGTATCTCTATTAAATCTAGGGTAACTTTCAAGTAAAGTAACTTTAAAAGAATTGGATAATACAAATTAAAATCATTAAAAGGAGACAGAGAGAAATAGAAATCAACAAGCAAACCAAACTACCACTGATGATAAGTAATAAACTAAGTCACTGGTATTCTGAAATCTTACTTATATGTAGGTTTATCTGTCAAGTTATAATATATACTCTACAACCCGAATTTGGGATGTGGCAAAGAGGTGATCAAAGATGTTTTCAAGTAAAAAGGATTCATTATCATATACCATGCCAATTCAGTACATTTTGAAGGAATGTATGTGTCAAGACTGCTAACATCGGATGTTCTTGCTTGCCATATATGAAGAAGCAAATCTGCTTTATTTAGCCTGTATAGCACTTCTAGAGTTAAAGCAGATAATACTAGCCTAGTGGATGGGAAAATATGCTAGCTAACCATAACAATATCTGAGCACAGTATTGCCAAGTTCAGCTGTAATGGGAGGGGCACTTCACACTTCACATTAATTGGAGAATGTGATTGATGACTGTAAAATGAAGGAGTGAGTTATGCCTTGTCACAGGTGATTGGGGGAGGGAGGATTCAGTTTTTGGCTTAAGCTTTGTATGTGCCGAAGCTATGCAGAAATAAAAGGATTCTTTAAGGTAAATAAGCCTCAAAGTTCTTTGAAAAGCTGCTTCTTTTTGGAACCATGACAGTTTGGTGAACTTTAGTGAAGTTTAATAAAAAATAAAAAAATCTCTTAATAAAGTGAGATAACAAATTTAAGAATTTGTTCCATTGTACAGTGCTCTATTTTTCAATTTAAGGCCTTAGATTTTTTTTTTACTTTTGGGAATAAACAGCAAAAGAGTGTTGATTTGGAAAAGTTAAAAATGGACTAAGTATCTGGATGGATTTGAAATTAATAAAGTAATTATAAGAATCTTTTAAATGGGATATTGTTGTCCTTCGGATTCCTTGGGGGGGGGAATAATAGGATGAGACTTTAATGGACACTAGACAGAACTAGACAATACTAAAGATTAAAGGAGAAGAAGAATTACAGTCAACTTGTTAAAACAGAATGAAGCAAAACACTTTAATATTGCTTTTGAAAGACACGTGTGAACAATGAATGGAAAAGTTCATTTTAGGCATATGTGTCATCATAGATAGGTAGTGTTACAGGAAAGGAACAAGCTCTAACAGATAAAACTGAGATTGGCTTGAATGTTTATTTTAAAATTACAAGCTACAAGGTTGATATATATAAAGATGTTATCCTGGTTATACTGTACAAGTGAAATTGGTTGATGTTTTAATAATTCAAAGGGACATTTACAAATACAAATACAGTTATGGCTGTACCCTGTTGATGAAAATCCAAAACTCAGAGAGAGGCCCTTTTTCTCCTCCTCAAATGGCTTTTTATATTGCTTGGATAATAAATCATGATAAAACTTTAAAAAACTTTAAAAACTTTCATCTTACTTAAAGTACTAATTAGCCCTTCCCTGTATATCCCCTCTGCACAGCACCACTTCAGAGGAAGTTACTCAAGGGTGAAAAGCCTTTTGGGAAGGGGAAATACATGGCTGCAATGATTAACTCTCTCCTAATTAGTGTTGGACCAGAGTCTAGGATTCTTCAAAAATTTTCTTCAGAATACAGCAGAGAATAAGAAGATAACAGCTTCCTTCTCCATACTGATACCCACAAAAACAGTCCTTACTTTCTGCAGCACAAAACCCTCCACATAGTCACAGCTGATACCTTAGGATGCAGTGTTGAACCAGAATAACCAAGGCTGAATTAAAGAGGCTGATCAGAAGAGGAACTGGTAGGGTGAGTAATAATAATAATAATAGTAAAGTTGGAAGGGACCTTGGAGGTCATCTAGTCCAACCCCCTGCTCGGGCAGGAAACCCTACACCATTTCGGACAAATGGCTGTCCAGTCTCTTCTTAAAAACTTCCAGTGTTGGAGCATTTACTGCTTCTGGAGGCAAGCTGTTCCACTGATTAATTGTTCTCACTGTCAGGAAGTTTCTCCTTAGTTCTAGGTTGCTTCTCTCCTTGATTAGTTTCCACCCGTTGCTTCTTGTCCTGCCTTCAGGTGCTTTGGAAAATAGCTTAATTCCCTCTTCTTTATGGCAGCCCCTGAGATATTGGAATACTGCTATCATGTCCCCCCTTGTCCTTCTCTTCGTTAAACTAGACATACCCAATTCTAGCAACCGTTCCTTATATGTTTTAGCCTCCAGTCCCCTAATCATCTTTGTTGCTCTTCTCTGTACTCTTTCTAGAGTCTCAACATCTTTTTTACATCGTGGTGACCAAAACTGGATGCAGTATTCCAAGTGTGGCCTTACCAAGGCATTGAAGAGTGGTATTAATACTTCACGTGATCTTGATTCTATCCCTCTGTTAATGCAGCCTAGTACTGTGTTGGCCTTTTTGGCAGCTGCAGCACACTGCTGGCTCATATTTAAGTGATTGTCTACTAGGACTCCGAGGTCCCTCTCACAGTTACTACTATTGAGCATGGTGCCACCTATGCTGTACTTGTGCATTTGGTTTTTCTTGCCTAAATGTAGAACCTTGCTTTTTTCACCATTGAATTTCATTTTGTTAGTTAGTGCCCAGTGTTCAAGTCTGTCCAGATCCTTCTGTATCTTAAGCCTGTCTTCTGGAGTGTTGGCTATTCCTGCCAGCTTGGTGTCATCTGCAAATTTGATGAGTTCCCCATCTATCCCTTCATCCAAATCGTTGATGAAGATGTTGAAGAGTACTGGGCCCAGAACAGAGCCCTGGGGCACCCCACTACACACTTCCCTCCATATAGATGCAGTTCCATTGAGGACCACTCGCTGAGTACGGCCGGTCAGCCAGCTACGGATCCATCTGGTGGTGGTTCTGTCTACCCCACATTTTTCTATCTTGTCAGGTAGTAGGTTGTGATCTACTAGTAGGGGACAATGCTATATTTTCCCTCTTACATTCAAGAGTACCATTACACAGATGTCTCTAATCTTTTAGACCTTCTCAGCCTTCACCTATATGTATCTCCTGCTTTTATCTTCTTCTGTTCCATTTTCTTTTATATTTTTCTTGACTCTCTTGCTCTTTTTCTCTCATGTAACACTGTACTTCATTTCATTCCATCTCCTTTTCAGCTCATTTCTAGATTTTGTTTCTTGTTTTAATAAAATTGAAATCTTTAATTCAGGCACATTAAAAAAAAAGAATTGTTGAAAGAAAAAACTTCACCAAGGTCCAGTCCAAGCCGGGAATAAACAAAATGGAGACTGCTTTAGAAAGAAGGTTGTAGTTTATTGAAGAGCAAAGCCAGACAGAAATGAGGGTCTGGGAAAGCGACCACATGTAGCTGGGAGTGGTGGGTTTTTATACCTTCTTGGGCTTTTGTGTTTGGAGTTGTTCCTGTGGCGTGAACTTTGACCTGAGGCTCAGTGTACCTTTCTGGTAATTTGAATGGTGGTGGATTAATCCTGTTATGTCCCAAAGGTCATGTTATTAGAGTTTGGGTGGGGCATATGGATTTTAGGGGTCTTTGTCTTTCTAATCTCATCAACTTCTAGCTTTCTGGCTCCAACCTTTCTGAATAGGATTATCACATCTGCATTTCTACAGACCTGGTTTCTGCTTGGGGCAGAGAGACTTGGTGGGGAGGTCCAGCCTAAGATTTTCCATTATTCCTTTGGGGAAATATAATATTCTGCCCTTTAAATAGTCCCCAAAATATTTCTTTCTGGGGGGGGGGTGACTTCACACAGAATCATTCTTGGCAACTTTGGTTACTTTCTTCCCACGATGTTTCCCCGTTCATTTTCTATACACATTAGAATAAGGAATGAAATACAAGAAGAAGCCGGTGTGAACAACAGATAGGAATCTAACATGATCACATCGTTCCCATGTTTGGACAGTGGCTTAAATCTTGTCCCCCGGTAATCAGGTTTAATTGGTGGACTCTATTCTTTGAAGTCCCAATGAGGGGCACAACAGTCACAAATACTCTACCTCTAGCAACAACAAAATAGTTTATAGCATAAGTGAATGTAAGCCTGAAACATATGGTGTGAGAAGTGTTTGTGCTGATAATAGGATATAAAATCTTGCAATATGGCTATCAAATAACATAATGAAGACCTTAACACTGATGGAGATGCACAAAGTTGTAATTATTCATTAATTCAATACATTGGATCAATCGTTTTCTCTTCCATGTGTTCCCAGCAAGCTCTTCAGTTCCCGTTTTCCCATCATTTTTGCTGCACTGTCTTCCCAACCACATTAGTCTGCATCTTCTTTTTTTTCGTATTGCTTGCTTGCTTCTCTTCCTCCCTTTCACAGTTCAGGGATAGCCCAGGAGTCTCTTCTTCCTCTTATTTTGCCCCATGGATGCTCACTGTAATCTGTAGTGTTGGAGGCTTCCATCTATCCAGAGCTGAACCACGGATAATGAACTTATCAGGTCAGCCCTTTCCTTCTAGAACAGGGGTAGGCAACCTCAGCTTTTTCATGACTCATGGACTTCAACTCCCAGAATTCTGGGAGTTGAAGTCCATGAATCATAAAAATCCATGAATCATAAAAAATCCATGAATCATAAAAAAGCTGAGATTGCCTACCCCTGTTCTAGAACAAACTGTCATAAAAAAATCCATGAATCATAAAAGTCCATGAATCATAAAAAAGCTGAGATTGCCTACCCCTGTTCTAGAACAAACTGTCTCTTTCAAGTAACAAAAATACAGCTGTAGACCCCCACATCCCAAACATGGTACTTCAAACTAGCATCAATACAAACTTCGTTTGGAGGTAAAGAAGTTGTTTCTTTCCAAGATAGAGGTAATGTTGAGAATACAGTATTTTAGGGTGGGAAGGGACTATAAGTTGCAGAAGTAATTTAAGTGACTAAAAGGGCAGAGAATAAATATGTAATATAAATGTTTTTCCATTTTTTTAAACCTGATCAACTTGGTTTTATCATCTTGAGACCAAATAGGGAGGTTTACTGAGTCCCTGAATCAATGGCAAAGAAAGGTTCTGATCTGTGCTTGGTACATAACTTATAATTGTGTTTGTTTGTTTTTAATTGGGTCATGGGTTATATGGTTCTGTTCTATTCTATTCTATTCTATTCTATTCTATTATTATTACATAACATTACATTACATTGTTATGTTACATTATATTATATTACATAACATTATTTCATTCTAATTGTATGAATATTTTTTCAATTTGGCATCTGTACTTTCAACATGCAGCATGCTCTGTAGTGTCATAGATGGTTTGTCATGAAAATTCTGTCCCTAGATAATGTTTCAGAGCTAAAGCTCACTACAATTCTGTTCTCCTATAATCATTTGTTCAAGGAATTTTACATTTAAGGTGGAAGGGACATGAGAAATTATTTTTAAAGATGAAAGTAAGAATAAAAGAGAGAAAAGGGGGAGACAGAATTTGCAAAGGGAAGCAAGATGATCCTCAAAGGATAAAAGGTTGGAAACATGTAAAGAAAGAAGCAAGAAAAAGATAGATGGAGAAGACATTAGGAGAAACTCACACGAATGCCCACCTTTCAATGAGAAGAATCAAATAAGGTTAGAAGACATGGCCTAAAAGAAATAATGCCATAAAGAAATCAGTAGGTGATTGACTTAATCAAAAGCATGTTGATTTCTTTATGACATTATTAATGGCACTCTAATTCAAATTATAGCTTCATAGAAGTACGGGTGGTTTTAATAGGTCTTAACATCCAAAGAGGTGTCAAGTTTTTATTATTTCAACTTTGTTCTATGATTATATTGATGATTGGATTTCTTGCAATCCCATTGTAGGTCTTAGACCAGGGGTCTTCAAACTTGGTCCTTTTATGACTTGTGGACTTCAGCTCTCAGAATTCCTCAGCCAGCATGCCTGGCTGAGGAATTCTGGGAGTTGAAGTCCACAAGTCATAAAAGGGCCACATTTGAAGACCCCTGTCTTAGACTCTTAATCAAGATAGACAGATGTGTAAAAAGAAAAGTATTTTCTTCAATCCTGTACAAGGAATTCTGTCCAAATATCTGGGTAGCAAAATCATATTTACTATATTCTCTTCTCACATAGAAATTCACTGAGGATTCAAGAGCTAAAAGACCGAGTTAGCTAGGAACAAGTTTAACTATAATTCTGGATCATAGATTCATGTCCCAAACTATATTTGCTGCTCAGTCAAGCCACAATTCTTTCTATATCATTACTTTATAGCCTTCCATGTTGTAATAATAATAATAATAATAATAATAATAATAATAATAATAATAATAATAATAATAATAATAATGAGATTCATTGTCACCATTACTATTTGTTATTGCACTGTTTCCTCTGTCAACAATACTGAATAACTCAGGACATGGCTATCAAACATCAAAAACATCTGCCAGACTATCCCACCTCCTTTACATGGATGATCTGAAGCTGTATGGAAAAACATCATCTGAAATAGAATCGCTGCTCAACACTGTCCGTATATATAGCCAAGATATTGTAATGGAGTTTGGCTTGGACAAATGTGCCACACTTACTATCAAACAAGGAAAAATAGTGAAAACTGAAGGAATCAAGATGCCCCACGAAAATAACATTAAGAGTCTGGATGAGGAAGATTACTACAAATACTTGGGTATCCTTCAAGCTGACAACATCAAGCACACTGAAGTCAAGAAAAAGATTAGAGGTGAATACATCAAGAGAGTGAAGAAGATCTTAAAGTCCAAACTCAATGGAGGAAATATCATAAAGGCAATCAACACCTGGGCAATTCCAGTCATTAGGTACACAGCTGGAATAGTGGACTGGACTCAAGCAGAACTAAAAGCAATGGATAGGAAGACCAGAAAAATAATGACAATGAATCATGCCCTTCATCCACGCAGTGACATTGACAGACTTTATCTACCAAGGCAAATAGGTGGGCGTGGAATGCTACAAGTACATCAGATGGTTGAAGAAGAAAAAATGGCTTTGGAAGAATATCTGAAGAACAATGATGAAGATGCACTGAAATTAGTATATCAGGAAGGCTTACTGACTACTGGAGAGACCAAACTGGCCTACAAGAAAGACCAAATGAAGAACAGAATAGAGGCATGGGAAGACAAAGCACTACATGGCCAATACATTAAAAAAATAGCTGGGAAAGCAGATAATAACAAGACCTGGCAATGGCTAAGAGCAGGAAAATTGAAGAAAGAGACCGAGGGACTAATTCTGGCTGCACAAGACCAAGCCTTAAGGACAAATGCATATAAAGTCAAAATTGAGAAGACAGCAACAGACAGTAAGTGCCGCCTATGCAAAGAAGCTGAAGAAACAGTGGACCACTTGGTAAGCTGTTGCAAGAAGATTGCACAGACTGACTACAAGCAGCGGCATGACAAAGTAGCAACAATGGTGCATTGGAAGATCTGCAAAAAATATCATTTGCCTGTAAGCAAAAACTTGTGGGATCATAAAATAGAGAAAGTCATAGAAAATGATAAAATTAAACTGCTCTGGGACTTCAGAATTCAAACAGACAAGCACCTGCAACATAACACCCCAGACTTAACAATTGTCGATAAGAAAGACAAAAAAGTCTGGATAGTGGACGTGGCAGTGCCTGGAGATAGCAGAATAGAAGAGAAAGAACTGGAGAAGATAACAAAATACAAAGACCTACAAATAGAAATAGAAAGACTGTGGCAAAAGCAAGCAAGGGTAGTACCAATAGTCATAGGCTCCTTGGGTGCAATCCCAAAACAACTGGAGCACCACTTGAACACCATTGGCATTGACAAATTCGCTATTAGTCAATTGCAAAAGGCGGCCTTACTAGGAACTGCTTCCATCCTGCGACGATATCTGTAATACCATCAAACATCCACATCTGCCTATCCCAGGTCCTGGGTAAGGACTCGATAGGTAGACAAAATGCCAAATCCAGTCTGAACATCTGGCTGACCATGCGATGATCCATAATAATAAAATTGGAAGGGACCTTGGAGGTCATCTAGTCCCCTGCTCAGGCAGGAAACCCTATACCATTTTGGACAAATGACTGTCCAGTCTCTTCTTAAAAACTTCCAGTGTTAGAGCATTCACTGCTTCTGGAGGCAGGTTGTTCCACTGGTTAATTGTTCTAACTGTCAGACGTTTATCCTTAATTCTAGGTTGCTTCTCTTCTTGATTAGTTTCCATCCATTGCTTCTTGTCCTGCCTTCAGGCGCTTTGGAAGATAGCTTGACTCCCTCTTCTTTGTGGCAGCCCCTGAGATATTGAAACATTGCTATCATGTCCCCCCTTGTCCTTCTCTTCGTTAAACTAGACATACCCAATTCCAGCAACCATTCCTTATATGTTTTAGCCTCCAGGCCCCTAATCATCTTTGTTGCTCTTCTCTGTACTCTTTCTAGAGTCTCAACATCTTTTTTACATCGTAGTGACCAAAACTGGATGCAGTATTCCAAGTGTGGCCTGACCAAGGCATTGTGCTGGTGATCTATTTATTTTCATGTGTATTGTCCTAGGCTGCATTAGCAGAGGTATAGAATCAAGATGCCATGAAGTGATCTTGCCATTTTATAATGCTTTGGTATATTTTCATGCATATTGTTTTGCTTTTTTTTTTTAAACAGATGTTCTAAAATACATCATGGAAAGAAAATAGCCAAAGCTACCGAGAATTCATCTTATTGGATGTGGCTGACCGCCCTTACTTGGAGATGCTGCTCTTTGAACTTGTTCTGACCTGCTACATGATGACCCTATTGAGCAACGCAACCATGGTTAGATCCCCATCTCCATAACCTCATGTATTTTGCCTTTTTATAATGCTTTGGTAAGACCACATTTGGAATATTGCATCCAATTTTGGTCACCATTGAATCAAAAAGATGTTGAGACTCTAAAAAGAGTGCAGAGAATAGTAACAAAGAAGATTAGGAGACTGGAAGCTAAACGATATGAAGAACGGTTGCAGGAATTGGTATGTCTAATCTGGTGGAAAGAAGGATTAGGGGTGACCTGATAGCAGTGTTCCAATTTTAGGGGGGCTGCCACAGAGAAGAGGGGGTCAACCTATTCTCCAAAGCACCTGAAAACAGAACAAGAAGCAATGATTGGAAACTTGTCAAAGACATAACATATCCAGAACTAAGAAGAAATTTCCTGACAGTGAGAACATTTAACCAATGTTACAGCTTGCTTGCAAAAGTTGTGGGTGCTCCATCACTGGAGATTTTTAAGAAGAGATTGGACAGCGACTTGTCTGAAATGGTGTGGGGTCTCTTGTTTGAGCAGAGAATTGGAGTAGAAGACCTCCAAGGTCCCTTCCAACTCTGTTATTGTTTTCTTTGTTTTTTAAGCAGATGTTCTACAGAAATGCATCATGGAAAGAAAACTATCAAGGAGAATTCATATTATTGGGAATGGCTGACCGCCCATATTTGGAGATGGTGCTCTTTGGACTTGTTCTGACCTGCTACATGATGACCCTGTTTGGCAACACAACCATCATTGTGGTATCAAAATTAGATCCCCATCTCCATACCCCCATGTATTTCTTCCTAAGCAACCTTTCCTTCCTTGACCTCTGCTTCACCACCAGTCTTGGGCCGCATATGTTGGTGAACTTCAGGAGAAAAAGAAAGACTTATGGTGCCTGCGTGGCTGAGTTATACATCTCTCTTGCTCTAGGCTCCACGGAGTGTGTTTTGTTGGCTGTCATGGCCTATGACCGCTATGCCGCCATCTGTCATCCACTGCGTTATACTACCATTATGAGCCATTCTCTGTGTTTCACAATGGCTGCTATCTCATGGGGAAGTGGCTTCAGCAATTCAGTAGTACAGACAGTCATGACCCTTAGTCTTCCACGTTGTGGACAGAACCAGATAGATCACTTTTTCTGTGAGGTACCAGCCTTGATCAAATTGGCCTGCGTGGACACCTCTGTTAATGAGGCAGAGCTCTTTGCCTCAAGTGTGGTGATCCTTCTACTACCTCTGGGTCTCATCGCAATCTCTTACAGCTACATTGCTGCTGCTGTACTGAGGATCCGTTCAGCTGAAGGGAAGCGGAAGGCCTTCAAAACCTGTGCCTCCCACTTGATGGTGGTGTCTCTCTTCTATGGCTCAGCTATTTGTAGTTATCTCCGACCTCCGTCCAAATACCCTGGTGACCAAGGCAAGATTCTTTCCCTCTTCTATACCTTTGTCAACACCATGCTTAATCCATTGATCTACACTCTGAGGAACAAAGAGGTACATAAAGCCATCCAAAGAATCATAAAGATCAAGAATAAAGATGATCAATAATGAAGATCAATGACTAATGAAGGTCACAACTTTACTTAGCAGAACAAGACCAATTCTTTTAATAAATGCACAATGTTGTTGTTAGTATACTCTTTTTCGTACAAACTCTTGAACATTTTCTTTCTGTTTTGTATCATTTTTAGAATAAGTCAAGGAGTCAAATTATATTAAAAGTCTCACTCCTTCACAATATATCTGTCTTTAGGAATTCAGATCTAGAGCTAAACATTCCAACAACACTTGGACAAAGAAGTTGCTTTTATTTGAAGCTTCAATAAAAGAAGCCACTTTTATTATTTCAGGTGAAATGAACTACTGCAAAATGTAACAGGCTTCAACTTTGAGGTCCGTTTCACCTGCCAACTAATTTCTCTTGTTTCTCAGTTTTGAACGTAGAGGGCATCTGCATCAGGCTTTGTTAACATTTTTCAACCGTTTGTTTCTCATCTTGCCATCTCAGTCGTCTTAAAACAGTCGCCAACCGCAAAATGATTATTTAATCAATGGTATTGATGGGTTATTAATGATAGTTGCATTTTGGAGCTTCCAGAACACCTGGACCTGTTTAATAATAGATTGATGTTCAAGATCCAAAGAGAACTGATTTTGTAGAAAGCCCCAGTTCATAACCCCAAACAAGATGTAAATGGTTCACTAGCTGAAGCACTGGAAAAGCTGTTCTGGCAGCAGTTGCCAGAAATTCAGAAGCAATGCCAGGTCCAGGCTCAGAAGAATGAAGTGAATTGGTTCAAAACAGACAGTACTCCACATCTGACACTGATTTTCTTGTTGACCACCATAATTTCTTTCATGCCTGGAATAAATTGTTCCTTGGTAGCTCTCATCCACCCTAATTCTATTTTTGTTTTTGTTTTTTTAATATATTTTATTGATTTTTTTAAAAAAAAAACATAAATCACTCAATAATTGGTGAACAGTGGGTTGTCTGGGTTACATTTATAAAACAAGCATATTGAAGATATACATCTCCAGATTCATTAGTCTAATTAACAAAAGCAATGAGATGAAAAATGCAGGAATTTCAGAACCAGAAACCAGGGAATGGAACAGATGCCACATATACCGCTGTCTTCTTGGACCTGCTTCACTGTTGGATCAAAGCTACTGCAAAATAATAATGTCCACTATCCTCTAACAAGTGGATAACCTTATCTGAAGGTTATCTGAAATGGTATAGGCCAGTAGTGGCGAACCCTTGGCACGGGTGCCAGAAGCAGCACTCGGAGCCCTCTCTGTGGGCACACGTGCCATTGCCCCAGCCTCGCCTCCCCCCACAACTCCCTCCTCTCCAGCAGCCCCCCCTGAAGGAGAGTCACCCCTGAGCATCGCCCACATGGAGCAGTGCAGCCAAGGACATGGCAGCCAGGCAGCGTAGACAAGACTCTGCCCTCACACCCCATTGTGCACAGCTGATTCTGCAGGGCGTAGGCAGAGGGTGTGGCCATCATAGCGCTGCTGGGCTGCCTGGGCGATCTGCAGCAGGCCCTGGAGGTGGTGAGTGGCCCTGCGGGCAGGTGAGGCAGGGGATGGGGGGGGTGGAGCAGGGGTGGGGCAGAGGGTGGAGCGGGGGCGGAGCCAGTTTTGGGGCACTCGGTCTCTAAAAGGTTCGCCATCACTGGTATAGGCCTGTGTGGAATCTCCTGAGCTATTCCTTTTTTGGGCGATTTGTGTTCATAGAACATTTGAATGAGTAAGAAGAGAAGTATCATCTAAGGAGGTCTGATCCCAGTTGAGGTCATCATTATATCTCATTGTTTTAAATGGCACAATGAGTCTCATTACTTTTTTCTCTGCTAGTAAATTGTACCCAAAGAGGACTCTGCTTTATATTAACAATGATAGTTATTGACAATTATAAAACCACAAAAATGTATCTTCAAACTTTTAATGGCAGAAAGTTTATTGATAAATCCCAAATGAATTGCACACAGTGGCTAATTACGATGTGTTTTCAAAAAACTTTAATGAGATACTATAATCCCTCAGAGAACCTTTCAGGCAGCTTCCCTAGGTACATTAGGATCTCAACTCCAGGAATCCTACAAAATAACACTAGCATGGAATTCAGTCTAGAGCAGGGGTCCCCAACCCCCGTGCCATGAATCGGTACTGGTCCGTGGCCTGTTAGGAACTGGGCTATACAGCTAGAGGTGAGTGGCAGATGAGTAAGTGAAGCTCCATCTGTATTTGCAGCTGCTCCCCAGCACTAGCATCACCGGCTCAGCTCTACCTCAGATTATCAGGCATTAGATTCTCATAAGAGTGCAAACCCTACTGTAAACTGCACGTGCAAGGGATCTAGGTTGCACACTCCTCCTCTCCCAACTCTGGTCCATGGGAAAATTGTCTTCCACGAAATTGGTCCCTGGTGCCAAAAAAGTTGGGACTGTTGAGCTAGAGTAGCACATATCTGCAGAGCACCAGACTGGAGAATCCTATTCTGAGAATTACCACTCCATGCATTTTCTAGTACTACTCCTCTGCATTTTATAGGTTCGTGGCAGGCAGAAAATGAACTGGAAAGAGGGGTAATGGAGAGGAAAAAACTCATCTAATAAACTGGTGTCAATCATGCAACCCTGAAGGTACATAATCATGTGCAAAAGGAAGAAGGTGGGGATAATCCTACCCACCTCAGCAATTCTTCAGAAGTTCATGAAGCTTTTGCAAATATTATCTCCCAAAATTTTACCTAGATCTATTTTGAACTGAGTTTGACCAAACTGGGCTCAGGGTAGTGTTGACACTAAAAATGTCACTAAGAATCCAACAGAAATAATTACAGGCCTGGTAACTTCTTAAATAGGGATTTATACCTTTATAAACTTTGTAAATTTATAAATAGAGTCTTACATTCAGCAGCAAACTTTGTTTGAATAGTGCTTTTATCTAGTGGTTAAGGCACTAGGCTAGACACTGGGAGACAGTGAGTTCTCGTTCTCCCATAGCCATGAATGCCTGCTGGGTGACCTTGGGCTAGTCACTGTCTCTCAGCCCAATTTTTCAACCACCCAGGACTGTTATTGTGGGGAAACTGGGGGAGGAAGGTGAGTTAAGACTTTACAAACAACAAGAGGAAAGCTCCACCTACATTCAATGGAGGTAAAAATTAAAATGATAAAAAAGAGAAACAAAATGGGGATGATAGGATTAAATATTAAAATTTAATATTGTAAAAAAAATTAAAATTGCAAGAGGAAATAGCTAGCTTAAAGGCAAAACTAAAAGAATTGGTTAACAGGAAAGACAAAACTAAAACTAAATAACAGGAAAGAATCTATTGTTCTAAGAAATCATAAAATATCCCAGAACTCGAAAACAAGCTAACAAAGCATGCTCAATAGACTATTGAATATTAGCTGCATTTATTATCTGCTAATTATAATGCAGATGCAATGTATGATTTAGTATGTTCGGGAGGGTAGTAGGAAATATGTAGAAGATAGTTGGAGGGAATGTAACCTCATAGGGCCATAGCCAATGGGGAATGAGCGGGATGGACGGTCAGTGCAAGGAATGTATAAAGATGTTGGTTTGAGATTATAAACTTTGGAGAGAACCAAACTTTGATAAGCTTCTCTCCCCGTTTGTTGCAATAAATGAAACAGGGAGGTCTTCATTGTGTCTGGGCTAGTTATTGGGCAGACAAGCTTGCCTCTGATCACAAAGGAAAGTGGCCAGGAGCACATAACAGGGAGGAACCAAAGAAGGAACAATATCCCAAAGTGCCTTTTGCTAGGAAAAAAAATAGTTTTCAAGTCAAACTTGACTCTGGGCAGTTCTTGGATACATTCAAGCTATTTTCTTGGCAACAAGATGGAAGTAGTTTGCCACTGCATTATTTCAGAGATTTTTTCAGTTTCCCAGCCTAGTAGTCTCCAACTGGATTTGCTCCCAGGTAGGATCTAATTGAATGCACAAATTCTTTGGTGAGCCTCCAGAATGGATGAAAGGATTGTGCCAAAGACTTCACAGAAGAGTGAGTTCTGAAGAGGACTTGAAAGAAGTGAGAGGCAACATGCCTTCAGTGGTGTTCCAGGCTTCAATAGCATCAGGAAAAAGGGCAGAGTCAATCCAGGAATGGTGAGACATAACAGACACTGTGATGGAGCAGAATGAGCAAAGAACTTGGCTGGACATGTATCCCATCCATCCTGGGGAAGGCTACCAAATGTCCAGCAAGAGAAACACATGTCTGGGGAATTTCTCTGCTGGCTGGGGAATTCTGGAAGTTGGGATCCCCACATCTGAAAGGTGCCTAGGTTGAAAACCACGGCACTACACCAAACTGGTTTTGTTCGCTCCCTCCCCCTCCCTCTCTCCTCCTTCTTGTCTCCCTCTCTCTCTTCCCCTCTTTTTCTCTCTACCCCCTCTCCCTCACAATCTCTATCTCTCTCTCCCCCTTTCCCTCTCCCCTTTTCTTCCTGTCTCCCCCTTCTTCCCCTCTCTACCTTTCCCCCTCCCACTTTTATCTTTCTCCCCTTCTCTTTCTCCCTCTGTCTACCCCATCTCCATGTGCTCTCTATCTCTTTCCTTCCCTCTCCTTCTTTCAATCCTTCCTTCCTTCCTCTCTCTCTGTTATTGTCTCAACATTACTCTTGTGTTTCCTTGTGAGAAGGCTTCAGACTTACCCAGAAGCCTTGGTCCTACCAAGATCTTGTCCTCTCTAACTGATATCCTGACTTAGCTTGTGCAGGACAACTTTTTGGTCAGAACCTGAGAGTCTTCTGTGGGCCTAGAGCCAGCCATACATGCATGACACCAACTGTCCTTGGATAGTCCTGAGTTCCTAAAGGTTGTTTGTAGGACTCATATGCTCCATCTTTCTGTGTGACGTGGAACACCTGGATTCTACACTGAGGATCTTAGGAACTTTTACATCCTCATATGACCAAGGCATGAATACTTTGTTCCCTCCAACTTGCAAGACCTTCAGATGTTCTGGCATTGTGTGTTGAAAGGACAATTGGGTTCTGCCCTCTCTCAGAAAGATTGCAGAATCCTGTACCACCAATAACCAGGTGGTAATAAAGCCTGTTTCTTCCAACTAGAAGACCTTTTCCCACTTCTGAACAATCCCATTTTCATATACATGAAGCTGCTTAGTCAGGGATCTCAGATTATCTATGTGTCTTATTAGTCTTTCTATTTCCTGATGATCTGCTTATCAA